TACCTATTTTAGGTATAATAATAATATTAAAAGCGGTGCGAAAACTTGTACATTAAAATCGACAACGGTTCTAATTGTGTATCCCTTCATTAATGTGTGTGTGTGAGTGTGTGTCATTCCAAGAACATTATTCAGCTCGGCGGCGATATAAACAAATCGTCGGTAGCTCCTAACCATCAAAGACACATGCCGAACACCTAATCTAGCCTTTGTGTAACCCTATATTTTTTCCGGCTCGACAAAACCGTTGACCATCTAGCCCGAGATAATCTTAATGATACGTAGAAGGACTTCACGCTTTATTCATTAGCCTAAACATTGGCACTCTATAAGAAGTATGGTGAGATTGCAGTTCCCTTGACATTTTACTACCATTGAAGTACGAAGTGCGAACAGTCAGTCAGTCGATCAAGTGCAACAGGGGTACACACAATTTTTACGTAAGTTCACTTTATCTTGGATATTGCATAAGTGAAGTGAAGTGCAAATTTAAAATGGTTGAAATATGTTAACGTGAACATAAAATTAAAAAATTGATTATCAATTAATTATAGAATGGAGTATAGACGAGGAATCAGAAATATTACAATTTTCGTCCCAATTGAATGGATACAAAGGGCTCCCGAGGCCGCTATTAAGGATGCTGTAGCCGTAGGGCTACTAATGTACCGACCTGAGATTCGTAATAACCTCACTGTGTATGCAGAATTAGTGGGAGTTACAACTAAACTCGTTGTAAGAAATAACAACGAGTTTTGGTTCCTGCGATTAAGTGATGTGAATGGTACGTATAAGGAAAAACATTTGTTTCTCATTTCAAAAGTATTAGAAAAATCAATCTATATATTCTATATTTCAGTTTAATTGGAAAACGAATTCGTGATTATCATCATAATCATCTTCTCAACGATCAGAATGTACTTATATTATAAAATTTTAATGTAATAAATATATAAAATTAGTATTCTTGAAGTACTATTTTATATTTCTACTAAATTAAGCAAACATAAGCAGCCTGTTCCCAACACCACCTCCTATAGTAATCCTTTTCTATATAAATAACGTTACAGTTGTATTATACTATCATTCCAAGAGTGATAATCAATGAAAAAGGTACGTGCGAGATAACCTCAAATGGGGCAATCACAGGGAGCAGAACGCGAGCGGGCTACAAGAGAAAGAGAGCAGTTTCGAAGAGATCGGTATCATGAGTGGCTGCGTAGTTCAGATCTCCCAGATTCTGAAAGGCATCGTCGCATCACATTCGCAAACAATAATTCGTTCGAAAACTCAGCGACACGTGGAAATCCTACTAGATCGGATCAGGGTAACACTGCAAGAGGTTCTTCAGGAAACTCATCCTCCGGTGAGCGTCAGCCTGAGAATTCAAGGGTAGGAGAAGAAAATCAAACGAACAAATAAAAATTATTGTTTTTGTGAATGAGGATGACTATGATGAGTGAAAATATATACCGTTTTAAATGAATTTCTCCATTTTTTGAGTGATTCTTAGATTCCACCCACACAATTCCTAAAATCTGCCGTAAAATCCCTGATACCTGCCGTAATATTTCTGAAGTCTGCCGTAAAACCCCTGACGCCTGACGTAAAATCCCTGACACCTGACGTAAAGCTAGGGCCCCCTGCCGATGACGTCAGCCGATGAAGGGGTCGGCGCCGTCGACTACTGCGCGCGCAGCACCCTCTTCAAAAAAAATTTCGGGCCCGTCGGTAAGCAGAAATCTTTCATACGGGGCCCCATCACCCTACCTTACCATACACACACACAGGGGGCGCCAACATCGCTCATCCAGGGGGCGCCAACGTCGCTCACCCAGGGGGCGCCAACGTCGCTCACCTAGGGGGCACCACGTCCCAACTTAGCACGAATGAGAACCCACAGGTCGGTAATATGTCGGTGCAGGAATCTTGGTCCAGAACTCTCCTTGTATAACTACTTGAATGGAGTAATATCTGCTTAACTGTTATTATTTTATGTGATTAGAGAAAACTGGCTACAAATGTAATTTGGAAATTTACTACGAAAATTTCAGCATTTGCTTTAAAGATGAATTCATCATTTAAAATTATAGATTTGTTTATCTTTCTGTTATACGTTATTGAAGTTGAAGATGTACTCATTAACATCTCGATAAATATAACGGATAATGAATTTCGGGAAGTAGCTGGTCCTTTTATGAAACGTAAGTATTATGAGCAAGTTAACGCAGATGAAAAGGGTTATGACAAATTTTCTTTCCAATAGAAAATAACAGTAGACTAATGATAGACGGAATTGTATTGCTTTCAATTATAGAAACTGTTAAAGCTGCTACAATGAAATAGCGGAGACTGCAATGGAGCTGGTTGGAAGGTTGAGCAAGAGACAAAATGCCTATCGGTGAACAAATGAAATATAATTTTTTTATTATCAACTTCGCTTTACAATGTGGTTACGACGACTCCGCCGGACGACTAGGTGGGCGGGCTCATTGCCATGCGCTCCTGACTAACAGAGCGAATCGACCACCTTCGTATATCTTCGGTCGCCTTCGTGATAAAACTAGGCTGCCAACTTAACAAAATGCGCCAAACTTACTTTCTTAACAGAAAGCAACGAAAATGTTGGGGTTCAACTGAGGAAAAAGTTGGTAACAGTGAACACAGATGACTCTCTTTTTCCCAATGTAAATACAAATCCTGACTAATGCCCGTATTCATAGTCGTTCCTTGAGCAATAAGGATCCCTTGTTCTTCGTTTCGCGTTTCATAGTCCTTCCTTGACAGAACAAGGAGTCTTATTAGCCTCCTTATTTCAAGGGAGGTCTCGAGCTTCCTCGAGGAAACCTTTTGCACTGTGATTCGCTGTTTCGTTTGATATGTTTAGCGCCACAAGCGGCCCGAGTTAGCAGCTAGCTCAGGCAGTAAATGTCCTTCCTTCCTTCCTTTCCTTATGGCTGTATCCCCAATGGGGGACATGTGCCAGTAACTGGTCCTAATAATCAAGGTTGGAAGTTCGACAATAGATGGCGATGTACCTTGCGAGACGGGCCTTATTCAACTCAGCGTGAGAGGGACCTACAAAGTTTATACACTGAATCCGAATAGTGTTGGGCGAAATCCGTATAAATACTCACTTAGGCAGTAAATGTGTATCTTGGCTTGACTTATAGCATGGACTACGCGATCCCTATTTCAAACTCTTTAAAAAAATTGCCGTTCGAATAGACAAAGAGGGACTGAGGTGGCGGCCACGGTCTTACATACAGGTCTCGAAACGAAAATGGTGAGGGTGGTTCGTCTAACGTCCGTAGAATTATTTCGCATTTCGGCCGTGATGACTGCGCTGTGATCGGCGGGTGACTAGAGTCCCTCTAGTAAGAGTTCGGCCAATACCCAGAAAGGACGCCATGTTTAGGGCTCGTTTGGAGCCGCCATGACATTGCGCGCGGATTTTCAAACTATCAATCTTAACCATCAAGAGACTCGGTCGAGTCTCGCGCCAAGTACAGGCAACCCGCCGTACAAGGCTTAACAATACACCACACTACACAATGCGAATCCCTCACACACACACACACACACACACACACACACACACACACACACACACACACACACACACACACACACACACACACACACACACACACACACACACACACACACACACACACACACACACACACACACACACACACACACACACACACACACACACACACACACACACACACACACACACACACACACACACACACACACACACACACACACACACACACACACACACACACACACACACACACACACACACACACACACACACACACACACACACACACTAACTACATTGTTTTGTAAAATTGTAATCAAGCATTAATTTTATTATGCGTTTAAAGAATATAATATATTGGACTCTGATTATTAATAAGAGGTTGAAGAATTTTCAATCAACCGTAATGCAATCATACAGGAATCATCAAACATTTAGGACTGAAAATTACAATACTTGAATAGAAATAGTTCCTTGATAAACATGTCATTGAATAATGCATAGTCGTAGTGATTTTTCATATCAATGTGATGAAAAATACAATATACATATGATAAAAATTACTACACATGCATTTTTTTTTACAAAGTTTTTCTTTGTATGATGCGATACAGTGCAGAGGATCACTATTCATCTACATGGTATCGATAAATTCATAACCGACTAGAAATTTCGGTATACTCATATGGAAATTGGGAAGACTTTAGGGACTATTCGAAATACAGTTATAGATAAATATTTCTTACTGGGATGAGATAATACACGGTGCAAATGGAAATTATAATACTTATCTAGAAATCATTCATTGCAAAACATGTGACTGTAGTAATACATATCCGTATTGATTTTTCATTCAAATACAATAAAAACCACAACATGTATATGATGAAAATTACTACACATACATACTTCTTTACAAACCGTTTCTCTGGAATATAGAATCCCCCAAAAGCATATATGGTGTTAGCATTTCGGTCCGCCACATGGATTTGCCATTTCGAATGTCTGAATTTTGAGTTCTGATTCGTAATCAGCGACGCCAAAACCCCCGGATTACCGACTTTTATCCGAATCAACGATTTATTTGCATTAAGGTCCGCCATATTGAATCAGCCTGAGCCTGGGGCTCTGAAAATACTTGGAATGATCATCCGTTTTCGCTCTCACTCGGGCTCCGAGAATTGCCGAGAATACTTGGAGTGATTGTGCGCTCCCACTCGCCTTTATACGACGTTTTAACTCTAATAAAAAACCCAATGAATTGAAATAAAAATCGTACGAATATAATAATGATGGATCAACAAGCATGAGGTCACAACTTTTCATATTGTTTTATATTTGACAACACATGTGGTGGGATGGCCAAGTGGTTAGAGAGATGTAAATGTAGAGATGTATCACGAGGTTTCTGCTTCAAATCTTCGTACAATTATTTTTTTTGCAAGATTTTTATTCATACCACAAGGACGGTAGAATAATGTAAATTAAGTTTTTGCATTTTTCTACGTTTATTACGACATGAAAAAAAAAATCTTGTAAAAAAAATTTAATCGGACGAGGGTTGAAGTAGTATAAGTATGGGGGTTCTGGATACAGATTCCTGCACCGACATAATACCGACACTCCAGAGCCTTCGAAGGTGGGTGTCCGTGCTGTTAACGTCGTGAGCTCTACGATTTCTGAAAGTGACGTTATCAGGACCCCTTGATTCCAAGAATTTTCGCTCGATTCCGGGAATTTTGTGCTCGATTCTAGGAATTACGCACGATCGAGAACCTTCTAGAACATTCTAGAACCTTCTAGAACATTCTGGAAGCTTCGACGGTTCGTGTCCGTGCTAAGTTGGGAAGGATCGCTCCCAGAGCCGGCGGTCCTCTCGCGCGACGTTTTGAGACAGCCCCTTGCCCCCCACCCCAGAAAGCCTTCCAGAAGCTTCGACGGACCCGTGCACGTTCGTGCAGGTTTCGGACGTCAGCCATCAGCCCGTTTGACCTCGAACGTTATCTCGCAGAATTGCGCATCATCGCTGATGCAGTTCTCCAGGAATTTTCCAGACCTTTGTCCCTAACTTCATCGCGCAGACTAGTGCGTAGCATCGGTGAACCAGAGAGACAGAGAGAGAGAGAGAGAGAGACGAGCGGCATCCCTTTTGAGCGCAGTGCCGAAAAGCAGTTTCAGCGACTTTTGCGTCGAGGTTGATTCCAGGAAAAACGATACCCTTCCCATGCAGGTTTCGGACGGCAGGCGACTCGAACTCGAACGTTATCCCGCAGTGGTCGCGCGTCAGCCTTCTCATCCCACTGAGAGGCTTCGAGAATCCCCCAACCCCCGATTCGTCAGCTTCCTCATCCCACTGAGAAGCTTCGTGAATTCCCCATCCCCCAGCCTCGTGCGAGAGCATCGGCGAGTTCAAAGT